CGATAAAGTATCTGTTAGAAGACTTGCAAGGTCAGCCTATAAGTGGAGGTTTTTATGAAGAAGAATTACAGAAAACAAAACAACCAGACGTATTTCTCATGGAGCAAGTGTTACGTAAGAAAGGAAATAAAATGTTTGTAAAATGCTTAGGATTTGATACATCGCATAACAGCTGGATTGATATGCGCAGAGATGTGGTTTAAATTGTAACTCACTGAGATTTTTTATACATTCAAAATCATGAATCTGTACTGTGATGTTTGTGAGGAAGTCATTTCTTCTTATTCGCATAACCTAAGTCATAATAGTTATTTACATTACAAGTGCGTTTATGAACATGATTACAATAACGAGTGTGAAAGATTAGAACGACGAGGTCGTAGACCGAGTCGTTCTAATCACACGAGTTTTGTAGTCATGTTTAAACGCACGTGTGATGTACAACGTGTTATCTACAAAGCGAAAAATAGGAATGTTTTTTCAATCATTTTCGCTTAGTAGTCGTTGTCTACCTTCATTTACCTTTACAGGTTTAACTTTGACATTTGTCAAATCACCAAAAATAGTTGTATTATGAATTCATAACCTAGTCCATAACACCACTAGTTGTGTTATGAACTCATAACCTAGTCTATAACACCACTAGTTGTGTTATGGGTCTCATGACATAACTCAAATACTAGAAAATGGTTATGTAAAAACGTCATAACCCAACGCTTGTAGATAAACATAAAAACAAGTGTTGTAATGAACTTGAACCTGAAATACATATTCTTAAAACAGCGTTTGAAAATCGACTAATTTCCCATAGACTATCCACAAAGCTGTATCCAACCAGTGTCGAACTTTATTTGGAGGAACTGAAAACAAAAATCATAAGCCTGATAACGGAGAATATTTCCACTCAGTCCAACATAAAATTAAATATGGAATTATATGGTTTATATATTTTGGGAGAGATGCAGGAAATAAAGTCTTTTAATACTTCTTTTACTGTAATTTCTCCTAATACGGATCTGCTCAAGGTACTCGATGAATTTAAACAAGTAATAGTTTCCAAATCTAGTGAATTCAAGGAGAGAGATAGTGGATGGTCATTAGTTAAACTCTTATTTCTAGAGGTTAACATAAACAAGCTCAAACCATTAAAATAAATATGGTGGGGGTATTCTAAATAACACCTTTCTATCTCATGAGCCTTTGGTTATAGTTCTCGCTCAGCATTCGTTGAATAAAGTAGTGCATCATATCGATTATAAACCTCCAATTACTAAATTTTCATTATTTTAACGTAGTCACGGTGAAATCGGAAGGTATATCACAGCTCTTTATCGAATTACGCAATGTATGAAGATATCAGTGCCAACGACAGCGATGATTCGCAGTGTTCTTCAGATTATTGGAAATATTTCGACAGTATGATTTTAAGAAGTCGAATGGAAATTGCTCAAGAGAAACTTTTACTAAACGAAGTTATTTACTATGTGAGCAATTTCAAATTTATTGTGGGCTAAGCGTTGCTCGAGGAATGCTGCCAGCAGTCAAAATAATAAATTCCATGCTAAATTTACCTGAAGACCAAACTTGCATAACTCTAGCGGATTTCGACTGGTTCGAATTTCTGGAAAAGGTCTCCAAGATGGTGAATGAAACTGATGCTGCCGTCAAAGACTCTGCTGAACAAGAAGTGTCTGGCCAACAGGCGTTATCCGAGAATTTCACTCTATATGTTATATCGTTTTTCGGTGAACAAACTTTAACTCTGAAGTCGGGTAATTGTACATTGTGTTTGTGTTTAGATGATGTTAAAAAAATTTTAACTGTTAGTCATCTTATCAATTATAGGTTAGAATGCAGCATGTGTAACTTGAATAAGTGTGAATGTAGCTGCTACTTTCTAGAACTTGCTTCTATGAACCTAGATAAAATTGTTAGGGATTTAGATAAGCTCAACGCATGTATCCAATTTAATTAGTAGTAATAACTATTTAAAAACAGTATTGCTTCTTATTTTTTTTCACAGTCTAATAGCAACCAGAGCCAAAATGTCTGAATGTATTACTGGTGGCGAATGCCGTGATCAATCTTCCTGTATAAGACAAGCTGTTTGTTTGCTACGTACTAGATTAGAATCAGACATGTACTTTTTACTTCGAGAACTTTTTGAACTTGAGAAAAAACCCTCTAATGGATTCTGTTGGATGCAAGATGTAGAAAAACATGAAAATGGTGTCAATTGTTGTAATCTATATCTGGATAATTCCATCTCCTTGGAGGACCTATGTGTGCTAATGAATAAATATGGACTACATGAACAATTAAAACAGCATGTCGCTAAATATATGTGTGAATATATGATTTAAAAATATATAGGTTATGATGAAGTTGACTAATTTATCCATTTTTTAAATTATAAAAGTTCCTAATAAAAATGCTTTTCATTAATAATTATTATCATTACACCAATGTAATAGTAATTCGTTGGCGCTGCTTGTTTATATTAACTAAGTATATTACCGGGTTTGTTTATTGTCATTTTCAGTCCTAATTTCGTAGACTAGTAGACTAAACAATGACATCATATTTTTTCGATTTTACATTCTTTTTTTTTTGTATTGACGATTGGCTGCTATTTTATTGAAATTCTTTGAAAAAAAAATGGTCCGCGGTCGGATACATTAACTAAGTGTATTACCGAGTTTGTTTATCGTTATTTATTTTCCAGTACTAATAACGTTGCGCCAGACTCGTAGACTAAACAATGACATCATATGCTATAAGTCTACACGATGATGGAGAGATTTCGCGCTTCCCTGCACTTCTCCGATCCTGATACAAATTTTCAGCTAGCAACTCTTCTATGGTCTCTTTTTTTTCATCATCGAGCAAGTTGAGACTTGTTTGCAAGCTTGATATATACAAGGCAGTAGGTATTATATTTTTCTGATAATTTTTTAAAATATTACTTATTTTTTATAGTACCTATCTGTAATTATTAATTATTTAATCAACTAACCCAACGACGTGGGGGGTCCTATGCTAACCTATAACTAACCCAAACTAACCCTCGCTTACCATTGCTGTATACAAGCCTCTAGCCCTGTATCGGTGTATACAACCCTATCTCTAGACCTGTATAGCTGTTTCTTGGCGCTCGCTCTCGGACTATAGTTAAATGTGGTACTCGAGACGCGTTTGGAGGTCATTGTAAAACAAACAAAACAAAAAAAATAAACAAACTGCTCTGGAATCGACATTAAATTATTATTGTATGTAGGTTGATGTTTAAATCGGTTTTTATAATACTTGAGCGACTTTCAGTCTTGTTTGAACTCGTCAACAGCGAACATTATAATTATTATAAAATTATTGCACAACATTTTTTTCAATTCTGACTAAGTAAGTAAATCTTTTATATACTAATATCAATACCTACAGAATATTTTTTAGATATGAATTTGAAATCAATCAACGAGACCTGCCTCTTCAAGGATCAAAAAACACTTGTGAAATTACAAGACATGGAGCCTGGCAGAAAGTACCCAATATTTTCTGCTAAAAAAACCCAAAGTAAATTCGGACCGAGCATCCTCCTGGAACTTGACGATAAGGCACTGTTTCTCAAGATCATATTGAGCAGTTTATGGATGGAAAATATTAAATAATATACAGAGGCCAGAAGGATGTAGGACGACCAAACCAAATATCGCTTTTTGAAATAGTTGAGTCTTAAAGAATGTATGTTTTTAAATAAAAAATTGTTTGAGGTTAGTATTTTTTTTTCTTAAGCCCATCTGTCTATTTTTTTTTATATTTCTTCATGTATTAATGCATGTTTAATTTCACGTATTTTTTCATCTGTATAAATACATGTAGAAATATAAAAAATACACATAGGTGTAATGTTATACGGGGTTTATAGATGGCGCATCAGAGAGCAGTTCGGGTAAGTTGGAGTAGTTCAGGTAGATTGGGTTAGATGACATTGACAGCTGACATTGACAGCTGACTGACATATGACAGCTGACTGATGACGCCACGGCGTCGCGACGCCCTGGTTGGCGCATGCGCAGGCGTCACGGAGGCGTCGGAGGCTTCGGAGGGCGTAGAACGCATATACTATATCTAATTGAGTTTCGCCACCAAAAGGCTTCAAAAGTTGAACTATGGATTTCAAATTTTCACCCATGTTTCTGTTTTGTCTTGTTGATTGAATATTAGGTCTTAATTGATATAATTGACTTAGATATTCTTCAGTATCTGATTCAGATTCAGACATAAAATAAAACTTTAATTAAACAAGTTTTACTTTAGAATTAAAAATTAAAAATTAAAATAATAGGATTAAAGAATGTTTTATCCAAAAATAAAAATAGATTTTCTTGAAAAATAGGTTTAAACCTTTGCAAAAGAATTCAAGAAAAATCCAAAAATAGCTCTTAAATATGAAACACTCTCACTATTTAGACGTTGGTTCTCAATGTCTCTTATGTCTAGTTAACACCAAGTGAAGTGGACAGGAATTTTCCTCAAATTTCACTCCAATGATCACTGTCATCCAGGTTTCTCTGCAATCCAATTTTCACTGTAATCCAAGTTATCACTTATAGATTCAGTTCGATTGTCTTTAGTAATTCGCGGGTCACGATCTCGAAATTCGGAAAAACTTGGGCACTCTGAACATCCGGTTTTTTACGAAAAAAACTGTAAAAATTATCCGCAGGACTGCGCCAATTAAGTTTCAAATAAGAAACTTTACTTTTTTAAAAACTTTATTTTAATTAACTAAAGTAAAAGTAAGTAGATGGAATAGGGGGGTAGACCCCGGCGCTGACCTACTTTCCCACTGACCTACTTTCACCAGACGGCCCCGCCCGCCCACCCGCCACTTTCCTACCATTCGTCCACCACCAGTCGTCAACCGCGAATTTCCTACCCTTCATCCGCTACCATACACCATATTTATTGGCTCCTAGTTGGGGACTTTTCATTCGTACACGATGTCTGATTCAGTTAACCTCAATCGATTCAATCAGCTTATTGAAAAGTTGTCTAGTGAGTTTAAAAAAAGTGCAAGGTATTACGATATCAATTGTATGCGTAGTAGACCTTCATATGTGGATTGGTATCATAATCTAGCTGAAAAACATTATGGTGCAGCTAGTGCTTGTAACGAGTATTTAATAAACAAAATTTTGTTCAATCTATTGGAAAAGTTGACGAGCTTAGGATTTGACGAGCAAATAGCAGATTTGAAGGATGATATTGCAGATAGAGAGGTAATTAAATATATCGAGGAACAAGAAGAAAAAGTTAGATTTATGGCTGTAGAAGAAGCATTAATTTAATATGGAAGACATTGTGAGGGAATTGTGTGAAGACTTTCTAATGTCTAAAGTTTGTTCCGAATTTTATGCCATAGATGGACAGGAAACTGAGGCTCAGGATTTGAGACTATACTTGAGATACATGAAGCATGCACAACAATGTGAAGAAGCAGCACAAACCTGTCGTGAATATTTGATAAATAAAAATTTTGAAATGCTTCTATGGAAATTGAATAGGTTAGAATTAACTAACTGTACTAACTATTTAACCAAATGTATGAAAAAACTAGTTTAAAAAAACTTTTATTTACAACCACATACGTAATGTTGACATTTCTGACTTTTCAAAAGTTTGAAAGTGACACTTTTTTGAATTTTACTTTCCACCCGGGTGGAAAGTGGTCCCGGGTGGAAAGAGCTCACTTTCCACCCGGGTGGAAAGTAAGTTCTAATTTTTTAAAATGTTTAAGACGAGTCCTGCATGTCAAACGTTTTTTTAGATGAGTCAGAACTTGTCAACAAATTTTTTAATTTTTTTTTAGTATTTAGTCGAAATTATGAGGGTTGTAATTGTTGTAAATAAAATAGTATACAAACCTCGGTAGGAAGTTTCATTCCTGTCTCGAGATTATAGTTAACTTCGACGCTTCGCGTCTCAGTAACTAACTAATCTCTCGACAGTAATGAAACACTTTCCACCTCGGTATGTAATATACTATTGTATTATTTAATTAAAATGATTTTTACATATTTAATCAATGAAACAATAATTTTAGGCTTTTGTAATAATTGAAAAAACTATGATATTATAAATGAATAAAAAAAGAAACACAAATTTTTGTAAAGTTTTATTACATAAAAATCTGATCATACAAGAAAAAAACATTTGATAAGGCACAGATACATGGTGATTTGTTGTGATAAAAGCAGCTTGAATCCATTTTCTTCAAAGAGGGTTGTTCATCTAGCTCTATTACTGGTTTCTTGGAGTATTTTCTAACATAATCAGCCTTTTCAGAGCCTTTAACATAGACATAGGAAGCATGAGAACATACATTTTTGATTATATCTGCACATTTGAAAAGAGGTGTGAATCCTGCATTCCAGTCGATACAGTGATGATTGTTAATAAGCCAAGTAGCCTATGTCGTTCTGGCGATAGATAATAAAATGGAAAAGGGGGCTTAAAAATGTAGTGACTAATTCTTTTTCCATCATAACAAGCCAATTCCTTTACAATAAACTTTTTATTTTCGATAGTAAATCCTTGAACATCCAAAATTATATTCATAATTTCAATTGTGAAATTTTTTTTAAACATTTGTTGTTTGGCACTATAGTTTTTGATTTGCTTTTTCAATTTTTCAAGTTTTATCATGTGTTTCAATAGTTGTTTTTCAAAGTTCTTAGACATAATGACAAATATTAAGGAGATACTCTCGTTTTATTTAAAGTTGTTTAACAATTTTATTGAGGGGGTTGTAACTAAATATTTTATCATGTAATATGAGACAATAAACTGATGTATCCTTCTTAATGTTACTGTTGGTTTTAAATTCAATTCTCATGACTACCGAACCAGTCTGGATAGATTCTTTTTGATGAGAACAGTCAATATGTGTGATTGGTGATATTTTTTTAAAATTTTCAGGATTAAAAATTGGCTCATTATTAAGCCCATAATACGAATTTCTGAAATTTGCAAACATTTCATAAAGGGGGGAAAATTTATTTTCTTTAAAGTTCAAATACAAGTCATGATAAGGGTAACGCTCAGAATTTAGGAATATTCGTATGTTTGTTAAATCGACATCATCAAACTGGCTCATATCTTTATTAACTTCCCCCTTTCTATTTTCCTGAAAGGCAATAACAACATGACGAGGTGACTCGAGCTTGCTTGTTGTCTTAACTGGCCAGGTATGGCGAGTTGTTTCGGGTAGGGAAGAATATTCAACAATTTCCCAACTCCTAAACCCTATTAAAATATCTTTATTGGTTTCAAGTATTTTTGTCAGGGCAAGCTGTTGAGGTATGTCTACTAAAATATGGGGTATTTTCCAATATATTTTATCAAAAGGGATAGCAGGTATTTCGTTCGTGGTTACTTTAATTTCTAGATCATCTTTAAACAGAACTCCATCCAGATCATTGCTAGCTCTAATTAAAACCAATTCTTGCTTCATATTAATTATTATTTTTTTATAATCTTCAAAAAATCCTTAAAGCATTTTAAGCGGTATGGTTACACAAAATTTTCCATTATCGTCAACCAAAATTCTGTCAGCTTCATTTCTATTGGGAAACCAGCCCGCATTTTCATATTTCAAACTTTCATTGGTATTGAAAGAAAGGTATTCCTTCAATGTAGAAGCCAACCCTACATTTCTCACTGAATCAATAGTAACTCCATTCAGCTCATAACAAATTTCTCTAAAGAGAAATGAAATTCCATTATTAATAAATCGAAGTCTTTTTGTATCTTTTCCTTCAGTATTTGCTAATGTCCCTTCAATATATAGAAAAATTTCTGAAGGTAAAGTGTAGGTATCCAATTCTTGAATGGGTATTCGTATTTCATCATTATAGTCAAACTTTGATGAAATAAATGGTTGATAGCTATGTAGCTCTGAGCTAATAATTGAATTGTCGACGTATAACTTTTCATTTACATTTAAAATATCCATTATATCAACACCTTAAGTCCCAGTGATTCTAAAAATCTGCGATTATGTTGTGTTAGTTGTAAGCTGTTTTTTGTTATACTGGATTGATTTCTCCTTTTTTTCTTTATATAAGTTTTTTTAGTATTTATTTCCCCGATAGGTTGCGGTTGAATTTTTCTATTATATCTAATAACCATTTTGACCACCTTCAGATTTCAAATGTAGTCTAACTGTTATTGTCTCTTGGCGAAAATTAATAAGATCTCCGTCTTGATCAATTATTTTAACAGTTATGTTGTTAATTGTCTTAACGCTAATTGGAAAATACAATATAGGTATGGAAGACTCCACTATTTTATACCCTGCGGCCACTATGGGGTAAAATTGATAAATGATGTGTACAGGTTTACCATTATTGAACGAGCCCACACAAATATTACAATCCACACAAATAGCGTTCAGTTTACTAATGTTGACCACATAGTCAGATTCATCAAATACATTAGCAGTAATAATTCTTTCTTTAAATCCCAATAGCTTTCCTACGGAACCTTCCTTCGAAAAATTAATCTCTTTGTTACAAAATATTTGACATTTTAAGGTGTTTGTATTTGGTTTGAGTGAAAACACAATTTTTTCATTTTCAAAAACATTTCTTATTGTGATTTTTATAAATTTTTCTATATCAGCAATGTCATAGGTACCTTCTGGAATCGTGATTATTTTATCAAATGTACAACTTGTTATTATTTTGATCAATATTCGGAATACTCATAAAAGTTTCAAAATCAGTTAATCCTAAATAATATTGTTTTTTATCCTCTAAATATATAGGAGGGTTGAAATCTGCTGACAAAATGGAAGTTTTCCCAGATATGGTAATGGTTGTAGACATTTTAGTAATAAATAGTTTTAGCACCTAGACTTTCCTTTTTATATTATTATTCAGAAATTTTAGTGCTGATTGTCCACAATTGAATGAATTTAATTTTTGTTGAGTTTTATATGTGTAATATATATTAGCTTTACCATTTGAGTTGAAATATGATACAAGTTCGATAGGTGGTTTTAAATTTCCAAAACTGTCAAAATAAATTACATTTTTATGTTCTTTGATGTAGGCGGTCCAATGGGTTCCGTCATTTTCTTTATTATCCAAGTTAACTATACCACATTCAATTATCTTATTTTTTCTAGGAAGACCATTTCTCATAAAAACACCTCCAAAATTTGGAATTTTCAAATCTTTCACAAATTTGAGTATATCTATATTTGTAAGGGCCCTACCTGGAAATTTCATTTGGACTTTTTTTTTATGTGGTTTTTCAATTTACCACCTTTATAAGGTTTTAAAAATAATCCTTTGCCTTGAAAACGGTCTGCTTTAGAGGATTTAGAACCCTTTCCTTTCGAAACTTCCATGGCTTTATTATGACGTCGTAATTCTTCTAGTTGATCTCTGCCAGCTTTAGCGTCATTGACAGCTTTAGCAATTCCAGCAGCACCACCCCCTAGAGCCCCTAAAGCTCCCAGCAGTGGAAATAGTAGAGGTAGGAAACCCCCAATTTTTTTAGGAGGTTTTAAAATCCGTTTTTTTCTCAATTTTCCACCTTTCTTTGAACCCAAACCCATGCCAAATTTGCGTTTACCCTTCATGAGACCTGCAACAGTCATGGCGGCAATTTTTTCACCGAATGAAGAGTCTTTAGCTTTAAATCGCTTCCAAGCTTTGTCGGCTAAAAATTTATCTGCTTCGTGTCTTTTGGACAGTTCTTCAGATTGAGAATATGCAATGTCGTGCTCCCGACACGCGTCATCCAAAGAATTGATACCGACGTCTTCTCTGGCCAATCTTGTTTTCAAGTCAGTGCCTGGGCGACAAAATTTATACCCAGGAATGTGGATTTCAAAAGGAAGTTTGTTTATAAGCTTATTTACTAGACCTGAGCCTTTTTTAAATTTACTGTCTCTCGTATAATGTGTAATCATCAAAAGAATCAATTTGGAACTAAAACAAAAAAATGGAGGAACTTATATATAAATACTTTTTTTCTCTCTTCTTTTTCTTAGTACTATTTCGAATATGAGATTAGAAAAGCAAAAATTTTCAATCCCCATAGTTAATCATGATCAAAAAGTGAGTTCACAGCAATTTAGAAAACATGGTGATTTATTTGGTGGAAATTCGAAAATTCCGCTTATTGTTGGAAGATCAAATTCAGGGAAAAACAATCTGATGCTTACACTATTAGAGCATCCAAATGGTGTTAGATTTGAAAATGTATATATTTATTCAAAATCACTGACACAACCTAAATATGCATACTTGAGAAAACTCTTATTACCTATAAAGGAAATTGGATATTTTGAGTACGAAAATGATGAGTGTATTGTCCCACCCAATGATATAATTATATTCGATGATATTCCATGTCAGAATCAAAGTGTGATAAGAGATTATTTCACACTAGGTAGACATAAAAATACCGATTGCTTTCTAATTTTTCAAGGATATTCCTCAATTTTCAAAAGATTAATAAGGGAAAATTCAAATTTAATTATATTATTTAAACAAGATTCGACAAGTTTGAAACATATATATAATGACCACTGCATAATGGACATGTCATTTGATCAGTTTAAAGAAATATGCACTTATTGTTGGAAGGAGCCATATGGATTTATGGTAATTGTTAAAGATTGTGACTTAAGTACTGGTAGATATAGAAAAAACCTGGATTCATTTATATATTTATAAAACGATTGAAAACTAACATGGATCAACGCTCAGCAAGAGAATTATTCAAGTCAAGAAAAGCAGTAAGGGATAAATTCCAAGCGCTCAAGTTAGCTTCTTCGACCGCACAATTAGAATTGGAGAAAGCGTATAGGCCCATTACACAACCACTTAAAGAATTTATTACAGATATTGGGAAAGCCGAACCACTAACATTTAAAGAGGAAGAAGAGTTTAATCCAAAAGAGGAGTTTTCAACCCCAAAATCTTCCTATAAAACTTCAACTCCAACTAGAGAAAAAACTCGAAAAAGTGGAAAGACTCCTATTCTACCTTTTGAACAACCGTCATTTTTTGATATGTCTATAAATCGATTACCTTCAGCGAGGGAGGTGGCTTCAATAAGAGAGATGCCCCTCACTAAGAGAGATGCCTCCAATAAGAGAAGAAGTGACATTCGAAAGCTCACCTCAATCATCGACTGAAACAATTGGAAATTTATCTGACATTTTGGAACAAACAAAGCAGTCAATACAAACCTATGTTGGACATCCAGTCTATCTGGACTGGTTGAGTGATTTTCACGAGTTACCTAGAACGTATATTGACAATAGTGTAAAAGATACAGAACATAAATTTGATCACAATTATGGTATTGTCCACGATCTTGAAACTAACAATTTTTTTTTTTGGGTTCTACTCAAATTCCTGTTAACTTGATCAATAAAGATATAAAAGTACTTGATATTCTTTACCCAGGCACCCCAGGGCTGTATGAATTATTATTCAAAAAAGAACCTGTGGGCTATAAAAAAGCCGATTTGGATAATTACATGGATATATTAACTCGAACTAATGCGTACCGCAGAAATAATAATCCCAATGAACAAGTACAAGGAAACAGTTCAGTAAAATACGTTATCGGACCATATTTATATAAAAAAGGAATCACAAAATCTAAAACAATCATTCCCAGACCGGTATTTGAAAAACCTGTAGCACCTTATAGAGCGGCTAAAAAAACGGGGGTCGCTCGAATTGGAAAAGGTCTTATTTTGAAACGTAATAAAAAAAGTACAGATTATGCATATTGGGATAATGTTAATGAGCTAGTAAATCGACTTCGAATTCTATTAGCTTCCAAGACTGCAGGTCATAATGGACATCGAAATGAAATAATATCTTTTATAGAAGAGTTGAAAGAAGCTAAAGTTATACTATAAATAGTGAAAGATGGGGTGAAAGGATCAGTCTTTTGTTTGAAGAGAAATATGACGGTCAATAAATTTGGTACACACATTTTTGATAAATGTGAGGATGGCGACACTAAATCACTCAAAATTGTTAACATTGCAGACGTAAAATTGTTTTACGTTGTAGTTTTACCATTTGTTGGTAGACACAATCCAACCGAAAAGAATTTGGTGTTATTAGGAGATGGTTTAAGAACTTCATATAGATATCCATTTGAGTCGGGTACTATATTAAGCGGTGAATATCCTAAAAAAGATGTGAGTTTCTTGATTAATGGAAAAACTGGTAAATTAGAGGGTAGAGAGATTAAAAAAAATGATTTGATAGCATTTCGACGTGTTGAAAATAGTTCTATAACTGAATTCTACGGTGAATTATTAATAAAATGTCAGGTTCAAGTGGAAACTTAGTTATTTAATTATGAGTGTTAAAGAAGACATAGTAAATGAATTGCATAAGCCGGCAAGAAGGGTTTTCAAAAGAAGGCGGGTCATAGTAAAACATCTAAATGATTTACTACAGGCCGACCTGGTTGAAATGCAACCATATGCTAAAATAAACAAAGGCAACAGATATATTTTGGTTGTAATAAATGTGTTTTCAAAGTATCGGGTCTTCAAAAAAAAACCAATCAAAGATTGCTTTGGTTACGAAAACGTATGTCTCATTACTGTTCCTTTATTGGTCAGGATTTTTGACATAATATTTTGACATTAAAGTTCATTGACAAAATTAAAAAAAAAAATGCTAAGACATACGTTCACAAAACCATCGCAATCTTTGATTGTTTTTTTTTTTGAAGACCCGATATGTTTGGGCGCTACCAGTAAAATCTAAAACCGGAAGAGATGTGGCTGCAGCGATGGGGCAAATCTTGAAAAGTTTAAAAACTACCCCAAAAAATATTCAAACTGACAGGGGGAGGGATTTTTTTTGCAAAGAATTTAACAAGTTAATGGAAAAATATAAAATAAGTAACTATAGTACATTTTCTAATGTAAAAGCAAGCATTGTTGAAAGGGTGAATAGAACCTTGAAAAACAAAATGTGGAAGAAATGCAGGGGAACTACAAGTGGCTAGATATTTTACCAGAAGTTGTTAATAATTGAACCCTATGCTGGAACAACGTTTCAAACGCCAAATATACCAAACAAGCGCGAAAATAGAGCGAGGTTGCACTTAAAACGTTGTTCCACAAAAAGGACATACTGGGCCTTTTGAAATGGCATCAACAACTCATCCAAAAAAAAAATCCTATGACCCCACTATTAAGTTGGCGAATTATCCAGGGTACATACAACGTAGTTCCATGGATATACCGTTTTTATACATTGTCGTTTACAACGTTGTTCCAGCATAGGGTTCAATTATAACAACACAAAACATTCAACAATAAATATTGAACCTAAGAAAGTTAATAAAAGAAATGAAGGTAAAATTTTGAAGGCTTTTAGTCATGCAAAGACGTTCGATCCCAAATTTCCAAAATTCAGAAAGGGTGACTATGTACGCATAAGTAAGCATAGAGAAGCTTTTTCCAAGGACTATACCCCTAATTGGTCTAATGAAATTTTTCGCATAAAAACATTGAAAATTACTAACCCAACAACATATTTGATTCAAGATGAGAACAAAAAGTCCAACATCATGATGCATATCTTGTAGAAAAAATTTTAAGAAAAAAAGGAAATAAAGTTTTTGTAAAATGGTTAGGTTTGGATTCCAGACATAACTCGTGGATAAATAGAAAGGATGTATCAAATTAGCAAAATAAAACTTTTATTAATATTGTTTTTTTTTTTTTTTTTATTTCAAAACATCTTTCACAACAAATCTATTTTTGAAGACAGTATCTCTGTGTATTTTATCCAGGATAGGTTCTAAAATAAGTTGACAATTTTCAATTCTTCTGTTAAAATGGTACTTTTCGATAAGTTCTTGAGACACCATTCTTGATCTCCTTTAGGCAAAATTCCATGCAACCATTAAATGCATTTTGTTTCTACTTTCATCAAAAGAAACTTTTGTTTTCGTAAAATATCCAAACGATTAGAGGCGCAAGTTCCCAAAGCTTGCAGACACTTTCGTTGCCTAGGTAAATATAACCATTAACTTTTACAATTTTTATTAATGGTATTTGGTCAAGTTTTTCAAAGTAAATAGCAACTTTTTGAATATATATTGGCTCATTGAAATTGTTATAGGAACAACTGAAACAGCTTATGACTCCCTGATACTGTAGAATAGAGTTCCATTCTTCTTCAGTTAGTAATATAGATTGATTATTTTTCCCTCCAATCTGGATATGAGGTTCAAAATTATATTCAACGGATAATCCAATATTGATAAATTTGGTTTGAGATTTATTTAAATAATATCGTTTAGCACTAATAATCGACGAATCGTCCACTTTTTCCGATTCACGCGTACTGGTACCACTGATTTTGCTAAACATTTTGTAGATACTAACGTTTTTTAAAAGCAAACATTTGCTTTATATTCCTGATACTGTTATGAAAAAAGTGGGGAGGAATAAAATAAACTTTTTTTTTTTTTAAATCATGTTTAGTAATGGCTTTTATTTTTTAAAAACAATAATATAGTACATATTATTATAATACAAATTGATATAGTTGAAACTAAACCTATTAAAAATCCATTACAATTGCTATCTGTACATGCTGCTATTTCATTCAATTTAATCCAGTTTGAGTAAATAGTTTCCTTATTGCTTAAATAGAATTTAATTTTAAAATAATTACATTCTCTTGCACAGTTTTCAGTTAAATTATAATTGTAAACATATGGATAATTGCTAATGTATGTCAATTCCATATTTTGATAGCAATCAGTATCGTTTTTGTGTTTATTAATACAAATTTTTGCTGTTTTACTAGTGGGAATATGGTTAACATACATTTTATTTCCAATTATGGAAAATAGTACAATTAATGGAGCTACAATCATTGTTCTTAAAATACTAACACTAACCTATTTAAAAATATGATTTATATACTAATTTGAACTATGTTGATTGTCATCCCTTTAAGTCAATAAATAACACAAGTTCAATGCCAGAACTGCGAAGAAACAGATAATGTGTTTTTCAAATTACACTGCGGTTTTCACATTTTTATCTTGAATATTCTTCAATCTTAGGGATTCACTTACACATTGAGCATAGGGGCAGTTTTTGAAATATATCAAGTGTTCTTCCAATGGTGAATCATTGACTTCCCAGTTGTATGCTTGAATTTTACAATAGGGGCACTGACAAATATCCGAAACTTGAGTATAATAAAATCCAGCCTTTGCCAATTGCACAGGGCTTAATTTACCTTGCCAATTTTTGAAACTTAATAATCGTTGTTCGAAATTTTTATAGGTAAAGTAATCTTCGGGAACTGAATCTTTCATAATCACCATGTTATCGTCTTCTGCGCACATGGTAGAAATGTTTAATAAAAGAAAAAACAAATATTTCATTTATATATATTCAAAAGCTGACGGGGGGCGTTAACGGGGCTTTTTATTTTTTGTTTCACCTTCATTCTCCATAAGTAGTGCTTTCAGTGTATTTACCATACTCTCAATTGCGGAAATATCTCGGTGGCCCCACGCCAACGTTTTTGTAGTACTTGAAAGTAGATATCGTTTATCATCATGGCTGCTCAATGCAATTTTACTTATTAAATTTGTATATATATTATGCATATAAGATTTAAAAACATACATTGTAACATAAATCTTATCATTCTTTTCAACTACATTTTTATGAAGGGATAGATCTAATTGTTTTTTTATAGTCGATTTGGATATGCCTTTTGCCTTTTTATCTAAGCTATTTTTAGTTTTTACGCAATAGGCCTTACTTCCGGTTCCATAAAAGCTTTCAATGGGAATCCCACAATATTCATCTTTAAATTTACCAACTACTGAGTCAGTAATAGGCATGTTATGCATATTAGTCGTGGAATAATTGGATGTATCAAACTTTACCAAACTTTGTTTCATATCTTCGTAAAAGTTATCGGTCTGAATCTCCAATATCAAGCTATCCGTGTCAGTATATAACAAAGAAATATTGTTATCATATATTTTTTTTAAATGCCCATAGTAAAAATCATACATTACAGTTTTTGAAATATCTAATACACACATTCCCACGTAAATAGGCTTGTCGTAGGTAATGCATATTTTTTGAAGTTAAATTGCTACTAAATTTTCTGAGAAAATTTTCAAGTCTTTAAATTGTGGTTTGGCAATCAACCTTTTATTTCAGCACATAACTTTTTACCGGATCGTTCCCACTGTGTCACCAACTTAATATCGACTCGTTTCTCAACATTTTCCATAGTTTTTCCATATGCTATTATTCGCTAATTTTTGGGAAATTTGTTTTTTGCAGCGTTTCGTTACTTTGTATTTAAATCAATGTATGATTTCAACCAGGGCGATTGACAAAATTTTACTCCTCTGTGAACTTTCAAAATTTTAAGTCCAAGTTCCAAACATTGTTTTAAATTACGGTAATGTAACATAGTTATACTTATTATTTAAATTAGGAATAAGTTTAGGATATTTTGATATTGGAGGTGTCATTTGTTCGGGGCAAAGAGGTAAATCGTTATGCTTATCGTGAAGATTTTTAGGGACTCAAGGTCAACCTCAAACACATAGCCAATATCTGCATTGTCTGAGAGTTTTGAAATTTCAATTGATTTTATTTCATCATCAGAAACCCAGGAAAAGTCTTTTTGTGGCAGGTATTGACTCATAGCATAGCCATATAAATTGGTGGCATCTAGATAGGCAATATATGCTGTTGGAATATTTTGATTAAAAGTGTCAAGGAATGGATTATTTGCTTCAGATTTGCGAGATGTGCAAGTACTGAGTCCACCTCGAATGCCTTTTTTTAAAAAAATGAAGCATATCTGGATCTGTTATCAGCTCTAATTCGACATT